GAACAGGCCCCGATTCTACGTCACTCGCCTCGCTTATCTCTCTCACACACAGCGGAGACAAAGGGCAGCATCGGCACGTGTTCGGCCAGCTAGTCAGTCGTAAAACAGTATCAGTCAAGCTAGTTCACGCGACACATTTTAGACATATTTGATTCAGTTATGTATTAAGTAATATGTAAGAAATACAGTGATATAAACAATCAGCGAATACTTATTAAATTCCTGTTTACATTTTTTACAGATTCGATTTTTATAAATACTATTAAGTATACAGAGTGTTCGGCCATCCCTGGGAAAAATTTTAATGGGAGATTCTAGAGGCCAAAATAAGACGAAAATCAAGAATATCAATTTGATGATTGAGACTTCTTTAAAAACTTATTAACGTTTAAAGTTCCGCGTGTATTTGATAGTGTGATAGTGGCTCTCGCTCAGAAAACTGTAAAGCTGTCGATACGCCAGTAAGTAGAGTCTCTCATGCTGAGTGAGAACTACTATCATAGGCGCGTAGCTGTTCGCAGGTTGCCGTCCTACAGGCGGAACTTTAAACGTTAATAACTTTTTAACGAAGCCTCCATCAATTAATTGGTATTCTTGATTTTCGTCTTATTTTCGCCTCTAGAATCTCCCATTAAAATTTTTCCCAGGGGTAGCCGAACACCCTGTATATTTTCAAACGTAAAAAATACAAAATAAGTGTTTATTTTGATATTCCAAGATGAAAAAAACACCCATTATCAGTTTTTTAACGTTATTTTCTTCCGAACCTTCGCGTAAAAAGCTGAAATCGCTTTAAATATGTATATATATATATAGTTTTTTCAAATCAAAGATAAATTCTAGTGGTGATCAATTTCTGTAATTCCACTGCTTTCCATGCATTTTTTAAATTCATTAGAGTCGAGCTGCTGCCACGGGGGAAAACCCGTACAAATTCGCCGATAATATATAAAAGAGAGGAAAAAACGCGGCGAGAGTTCGATTATTCGTGCCAGAAGTTCACCGTATAAACGATACCTGCCTGATGAATGAACAAATCAAAATTTCATTGCTCGGAGTGTCAGTTTATCGGCTTGTATTGCGACCGTCATATTTCTAATATATTATTTCGGTGAATCTGTGTCCTCGTACATCGCTGTATAAAAATAATAAACACTGAAACTTCATATCTTTCCATAAACGATTTGTATTAAATTTTCAGTCGAATAAGAAATTTTGTCAGCCGACTACACGAAAAATATAATGCGTGAAGGATATTTAAGCGAACGAACGTCTTGAGAAAAGTAAAACGACGTTTAAAAAGCGTCCAAGATAAAAGACATTTGAAAATTGGCTTCGTTCGATCACAAATATACGTAATCCATTTGTGCATGCACGTTGTGCTTACGAGTTCCACCGCATGTACTAATATAGTACCTAATTTATATATTGCATTCACCATTATTCACACAGTGTTTTTCAAACTTTGTTCCTTGTGGCCTACTGCGAAGGGAAAACTAATTTCCGACGGGGAGAAAAGTTTACCTCCAGTGTGCTGGTTCGGGAAAATCGAATGGAATATCGCTGAACGGAACCGTCTATATAGCATTGCTTGTTAACGAACTAAAACGTACACGTATTTAACAAAAGAAAACAAGTACTTTCCCCGTAATTTAATGATTTAAACGACTCGACGAGGGTGAGTACGAATTAAAAATAAAAAAAAAGCAAACAAACAAAAAACCTAAGAAGAACTCAAGTCTTTGATTCGAACTCTAGGTCGCGATGGAAAAGCATTTGAAAAACACTGATTCAGGGCACCCGGTGTTTCGTAGCGACGGCTTCGTTCAACAAAAATTCCCGACGGGACGATTTCGTGTAAGTTCGAAAAGTGCGTTCCCTTTTTGCGACAAGCAACGATAAACAATCGGCGAAGGCAAGTGTGGTGACATTTGTTCGAAGTCAAACAATCCAGTTCCCATCTCGATGTTAATTTTCTTTCTTTCGATTTGCTTTCTACGGCCCATTTCCCTCCCAGGCCGATTAGAACAAGGACAAACACGTCGTCTTTAACTCGATTTAGATCGTTCAAGCATGCTCTCATCACTTCCGCCCTAACCCCTTTGCTCCGACGCTGAATTCGCCCCAACTCTCCCAACCGATTCTCTTTCACCCTGAAAACACGAATCTCGATGTGTATTGTTATTCTAACCGACAATTAGCTAATTACGCGCTCGAAGTTCATCACGTTCGCGTTTATTCACATTTACCTATGCTTGGATTGAAATATATACATTAGTGCGATGACCTGCCTGTGAATGTTATAATTATGAACTGCTCCGATGATCGATTAACTTACGCTCGAATGCAAACGCCCGAGTGACACGATGGGACCTAGTTGCCTTGAGGAAAATATCGTTTGATCGGCATTTGATTAATCCGTTAAGTACCAGTGTCCCGTTTTAAGAACTTTCGGAAAAATAAGTATCAAGTAAATAAAAATGCACTGTCATTTTTTGTGACCTTTTCTTCTATAATACATTTACTTGATTTTTTCTAGCTTAGAACATCCCCAAATTTTGATTGATAAAATTATTATTAATTTCTCGCTAAAAAGAATATTTACAGCAGCTTACAGTGCTGTCGTTTATTTTACTCTGTATACGTAACTTCAAAGGAAAAAAATTTTCGCAAAAAAATGATTTTTTTGTTCGACTAAGTATTTTTTGAATACAACGTGTAGAAAATGAGCATCGATCACAAAAATATTATAATCTGGTACTTAATGGGTTAACAATTTCGATTCACGGACTGACAATGGACAGGCTGCATTGCGAACGAGAATAATTTTTGATATCTCTTGTCGCTGTAGAGGATGCGACGCCTGTCTGGAATTCATTTTGTTAACTTTGCAAATATTGACTTTAACAAATATCGTACGAAAAGTCGTATTATTTATGCAGACTATACATATAGTACACTGTTGAAAATCTGTCGCTTGTGGCTTTCAAGATGGAAATGTTACCTTTAGCTTTAAAAATGGAGACAAATTCTTTCTTGTTAATAGAAGTTATATATAATATTAATATTAAACAAGTCAGTCCACGTTCCAATTTTCCTCTGTCAATTTGTAATCTATTCCAATTTCTAGAATCGCACTGTATAACCAACTTTAAAACAAAATATTTGGTTCAATTCAGTTCTGTTAATATTAACGTTGACAGAGTTATCGTAACGATTTCACTTACTCTATACTGTATAGCAAAGGCAAAATGACAGAAATAAGTATTAACTTCTAAAAGTTTTGCAGGAATAACAATAATTATCTGTTCGCCTTTGATTCATAAATTGGAAAACCATAATTTTATAGAGTAAATGAAGCGTGGCCTGTTTTTGATGACTTGGAATTACCACCGTCTATGGAACAATTATTACGTAGATCCTCGGTATTTCTCCTGTTGATTATTAGTTATATGTACATGTACAAGATTGTGTGAAAAGCATACAATACATTATTTAATTGTTTTTCTCTGAACAATTATTCTTTCTGTATAAAGCAAAACCTAAAAATCGTTTCTTGTACGAATAAATGGAAAGTAGAAAATATATTTTTAGAAAGAAGTCACTATCGTGTGTTAACATTTCTTTATTTTAAATGGTAGAATATCTGAAGCACAAGGTAACGACAGATACAAATGACGTTACAGATCATACAATGGCTGTACTAGGCTATAACTGTAGTTGTATATAGTTTTTAATTTTGTATACATATAAGATCAACTCTGAGAAAATAAAGAATATTCAGGATTCGCATAACAATTGTTCTGAAAATGGTGACCGTTCAAGTAATCGAAAATCCTAAATACATTTCATTTGCTCGACAAGACAATAGTTTTCTAAATTCACGAAAATGGCTTACATTACTTCTACGTGTACTGAACAAACCTGAAACCTATGAAAGAAAGATCCTTAAATCAGATAAACCCGGTTAAATAAAACCATCCGTTCAAATACAATTTCTCTTAAGCAGACGAAAAACCATAAACCTAGCGTGAAATTCGCGCGTTTGCAAAATACCCGAAAGCAGAGTTGGGCGTCGATCTCATTTAATTAATTAATTACTGATCAGGAAAGTTAATATACGATCAAAATTAATCGTTAATCGCTTGTAATCGCTTGTAAATCATTGACAATTTAAAGATATATTCCAGGTGTTATTTTCAATTTATTTCAAATATCGAAGAGAATTATAGAATAAAATACTTCTAGCTTTATTATTTTCTTGAATTTCAAAATTTTACAGGAATATACAGGGTGTTCGGCCACCCCTGGGAAAAATTTTAATGGAAGATTCTAGAGGCTAAAATAAGACAAAAATCAAGAATACAAATTTCTTGATTGAGGGTTCGTTAAAAAGTAACTAAAAAATTAAATTAAAAAATTTCAAATCGTTTTGAAACAATTATTTTTGATGGCGGTGGTCAACTACAATCATTTTTGGTGAATAGACATACCCCCAAAATCCTGCGCATTTTCGAGAAAAACATTCACTACGGGCGGAACTTTAAATGTTAATAAGTTTTTAACGAAGTCTCCATCAACAAATTGGTATTCTTGATTTTTGTCTTATCTTGGCCTCTACAATCTCCCATTACAATTTTTCCCAGGGGTGGCCGAACACCCTGTATACTTAATAGTATTTATAAAAATCGAATCTTCGACTAAACAGCGAGGAAGAATAACGATTAATTAAAACCTGAATCGTTGCTTCGATTAAAATTTCGCCAACTCTGTTTTTGCAAAGAGAACAAAAGAAAAGAATTTGGAACGAGCGTAGAGAGTAGGAAGTAACGCGAAACGATCCTCGACGCACGAAAAGACACTAACCCAAGCGGTTAAAGAGCGACATACAACGACAATAAAACAAAAAAACCAACAACAACAAACTAAATAAAAACCAAACAAAGAAATCCACACACACACACTTTTGCCTTGACCGATCGTGGCGTTGCTTGTTGCAGCGAGGCGTCGGGGCGACGAGGAAGCTGCGAGCGGTGTCGGCGCCGGAAGCGAGACGCACATCACCCCCGGGGACGAGGACGACGAGGATCACGAGGACCCGCGTATCATCGACGAGAAAATGCCGCAGGGTGGCCAGGAGAATCCGATACACGCGAGCACGGAATACGTGAACGGCCGCACGGATGTCAAGGAACCGAAGAAGGACGAAAAGACGGATACACCTGTTTAAGGACGGTTCGCCGCGCGACGGTCGTTCCTTCCAGTGACGCGGGAATAAACTGTCGCCGTTCCTCGATTTGGTTCGACGACCCTTTGCGCTGTCCTGTCTCGCTGGGAAATTTCATTCGCGATACTTGACGCGTTGCTCCAAGGTCGTTGAACGAATCGAACGATCCCACCTGAAACGAATCCGAAATCGGGAATACGTCGCAGGAGCGAACATTTTTCTTTCATTGCCGACAAAACTTAGAATCTTAATGGTCAAATTTAGATCTGATCTGGTACAAATGTTAGCGTTTTTTATTTATTATTTTCCGTCGACGGAACACCGAAGATCTGATCCTGCACATTGAGTTTGCCTTATTTGTCTACCTTTTTTTTTTCTCTTTCAACATTTTTTTAGACATTCGCGAACGACATTTAGTGGCTTCGTTTCGGATACATCGGCCATTTTCCTTCACAATAGATAGAGAGGAAATTTTAGACTAAAATTGAAAATAAAATTATATGAAAAATATAAAATTATATGTGCAATCATGTGCGAATGTTTTGGAGCTCGAGCTTCGCTTTAGAGAGGGAAAACGACAAAAATTTAAAATAACTTTTGCACATCACTGCAAAATAGCTGATAATATGAATTGTACTTAAAGTTAAAGACAACTAACGTGAATGATATTGTTTACCTAATCTCTAAATACTCAAAACGTAAAGTCACTGATAAAGCAAACAAAGCCATCGAATATCGTTTGCATCGACTCGATTACGGTTATAAATTAACAACAAGGATGCATTTTATTTTACACGTTGATAGTTGGATACTTTCGTGTTCCTCCGTCCCCAGTGATCGCGACACATTCGAGCACTTGTTTCTTTTCGAACCAACGTATCTTGGAGACACTCGAATCGGTACACAACAATCTTATATTATTTCTAAATCTACTCATTATTTTAACTAACATTGTACGGTATATCGCAGTAGCCGAGACGCCTTGCGATGATACAAAGTGTCTCGAAACCCGTTGTCAGCCTGAAATCTCAATAGTTTAAGGAGGGACGAGTTTCACAATCAGTGCGTATTTATTTTAAACGAGTTATTTTAATTCGAGGACAAAAGCGAGATGCAATCGTGTACTGATTCCTGTTGGATCCGATCGTATTTCGTTCAGCTTCCTTGCTTTTCCACGATTTCGTCTCTTCTGATGGGAACTTGTGCGTAGCTTAAAACCACAGCACGATTCTCCGTTCATCGACGATCGGGAACGATCCCTCGATGCCTCGTCACTGCGCGCGAAAAATCGCTCTCCTGTTGCCACGGTGTAAGTTTTGTAAATAGAATGTTTCAAAGCGATGCGCCCGCGTCGTTCTGAGCCTGGCGAGCGTTCCGCCGCCGTTCTTTCTTCGCGGGGGGATCACCATCGGGGAAATTCGCTTGGGTCAAGATATTTACACACTACTAATACAAACTTGTACGTCGTTCGATCGTTAACTGTTCGAGGATCGTGGAATATATACTGACGAATATATTTAATATTCATCGATTGAATCAAAAAGCATCGTTTTACTCGTGTCGTCGACGATTCGTGACAAGTATCGTCCTCGAAGAGTTAAGGGATCGAGCGATCGCTAAGGTATATCATTAAGTAACACGTGTTTACGAGCTGTCCTTAAATTGTACCGTTCTACTCTAGGAGATGATACTCGATTCTTAAGTAAGACTTCTGAACTCTGCAACTTTCGATTTCGTTCCCGTGATAGGGAACGACGATCCGGGGATTCGAATATCGAAATCGGGAGCGAGAGGCTGTCGATCGTTGACGCCCGTTATCGCTACGGTAACACGACTATTAACGAAGAGCATTTGACGCTTCCGCAGCCGAAGATTCTACTTCGCGACTGAAAATGATCAAAATGTATAATATTATCGTGCTTGCAACCACTCGTTTGAAATTAAATGAAATTCACGGCGTCGCGTATTGGATATAGAAATATTCGGTAATTGTTTAGAAGTTTGTCCTTCTCACCGTTTTCCTGATCTTGAAATATGTTGTCAAGGTCATCATTTTGAACAACTTTTTTGGCCTTCGTTTTCCAAATATTCGTAAAAATATTTTTCTTGCCGTCATTCATCGACTATCGATTCAAATCCGCAATTTCAGACATTTTTTTCTCTGCAACAAGGAACAAGAATATGGAACTTCGTTTCATGAGCCATGCGGAGCAATAAATAAAACATCCCCCACGACTTGAACAGTAACATATTAAATTCGTTTTGCTGACTAGGGGGCTGCGACCCCCTAACAACTACACTAACTGATACCGATACTCATTTTTAATATAATATATCTCGGAAACTAAGGCCGAACGGCGGTAACATGTATAGGGAAAAGTTGTTCAGAATAGTGAGCTTGACAACATATTTCAAGGTCATCGAAATCGGTGAGAAGGGCAAACTTTTAAATAATTACCAAATATTCTAATTCGAGAGGGTTTTAAAATCTATTGCATATATTTGAAATAATATTTTGAAATCGAGAACAGAGCGTTTTGGTATTTTTCTGTTGGAGAAACTACAAAATAATCTATTTCCTTGCAAATATCGATCAAAATTAGATCAACGGCTGCGAACGTGTAAAAGGAACGAATACGGGAGGACCGAACAAATCAAATTGTTAGTTCGACATTTTTCTAATGGACGCATCGACGTCAAAGGGGCGGGGGATATTCAACAAAATATACTAGATCGAATTGCGCGCGCACGATAAATAGAAATTTCCACGCTTTGTAATTCTTTAAAGAACGTTTCCCAGAGATTCATTTTAAATATTCCGTAACAACGAAGGATCGTTTCGATGGTTAAAATTTTTACAAAGCTTTTAGATAAACGTCACGTTTTTCTTTCCTTTATAATCGCGATTGACAAGAATGAATTATTATCACGGAGAAACGATTTACGTGCACGTGCGAGGAAAATCTATTAATATCACGCCGTTACCACGCTCGAAGACAAACGAACACATTCCACGATGTAGCTTTCGTTCGTAACCGGATTCTTTTTTTTTTATTCGAACATACGTGTTGACTGACGCGTGATCGTATCGACTTTCGTAATTTACAACATCTCTTGAACAGTATTATTTGTATTGAAACCGCGCGGTGGCCCGAAACGAGGCTATCTCTTTCAGTTTCGATTTTGGGGCTTGGTAACCCCCATTCGAACGATTCAACGACAATTTCTTTTACACGAATGCTATTATAATACTCCGCGATGTTTTTTATTTTAAAATTGTTAACCCTTCGGGAAGTTCCAGTCCCGAATAATCGTTGTCTCCCCTCATTACTTCACCCTGTGAAGTCGGAGTCTTAACGAATTTTTCAAACGTTGCATCGTTTTTTAACCATTTTTATTAAGAAATATAAAACATTAAATGTTCATGAAATTTTTATAACACTTTTTCGCCGCATATAGATAGCACAAGTATGCCCTAGGTGTTCGCTAAAGAGTACGCATAGAAAGGATAGAATTCGAAAGAATAATGCCAAATTTCGTATCGAAGGGTTAACGTAAACATTTTTACTTTTAGTCAGTCCATCCACCGTTCATATTTTTTATATGCTCGCGTAACGACGAAGATTCAAAACATTCACCTCGGAAAACACTTTTTTAAACAGAATTTTATATTACGAATTTATATTACGAACGATCACCGTGAATTCATCGAGACATTAGTGTTGGGCAAATTTTAATCAAAGTAACGATTGACGATTACATTAGTGGAATATTCTTTTTTTACGAGCGCAACAAATTTAACTATACAAGAATATATTCCTGTACGTTTAAAGTTGAAAAGAAATAATAAAGTTATATTTTTTGTTCGCCCGTCAATGTTATTCGAAAGTTTGGATGAAAGTGTTTCAACTTTTGCTGACCTCGAAGCTATTCTTTCAGAATATATTCTTAAATAATTAGATTTTCAATTTATTGAACTCGACACCATTGAAGAATAACCATTAATTTGATGAACGATCACTGGAAACAATGATTAACCCTTTCAGACTTGACAATAATTTTGTATTAAACTCGTAAAATTAGTATATTTTACACATTCGAAATTTGTGTATAACCGTTTAAGCGTCTAATGTTCAAGACAGGAAAGGGTTAATTTAATTTTCGATCAGCGATTAAATTTTCAATCGTACTGTCTAAATCGATTAATTAGTTGATATTAATCGATTTATGTCCAACTCTGCCCACAGCCAAAGGCCATCATATTTCACAAACGTTTTAACGTAAGATTTATCATAGGATCGATACGAGTCCATCGACAAATAGACAAGACGTATTCCGAGCGAAGAATTCGTACGAGTCTCGTATTTTCCCCTTCGTTCACGACGGAAACAGTATTTGCAAGTATTTTCCCGTTAACGCCTTTTTAATGAGATTACAAGGTACCGCGCACCATTTTCCATCGTCCTGCACCCCGACGCGACGCCTGTTCTTGTGTGTCCCGACTTTTCGATCGATATCTTTTTTTTCCTTCGTTTCACGCGCGAAAGTCCTTTAACAGATAATTTTATCGCTTTGCATTATCTCCGATGCGCTAATTTAGGAGCATTCGAAGACAAACCGTATTCGTTTAAGATCGGAACGAATATTCGTCACGTGCAAGTGATTAACTAACGTGGAATATAGCTTTTTGTAATTAACGTGTTCGAACGCGTGAATGGGACGTTATTCGTGGTAGAACTAAAAAATTAACGACTCCTCCGTACGTAGAAAAGTGAAATAAATGCGTATAAATCTTGATTCTAATGTATTATTAATCTTCGATTCTTTATTTCGATTCTTCTTATTTTTTGATCGTCATTGTCATCATAAATGACTCGATAGAAATTAATTGTGACCGACAGAAAGCAAACGCGTATTCCAAAAATTTTCTGATCCGACCAATCGCGTCCCATTTTACAGAATTCATCGATCGCAAATGTCGTGATTCGCGAGAGCACAAATGATCGACACCGAAGTTTCGTTCATTGTTTGACAGAAAAGAGAAACGCAAGAGACGCAAGAATAAAGCTAGCGTAAACCCATAAGACTAACCGCGACTGGAATACTTTTGAGAAGTCAGTTTCGTAATTTCATTATCATTCCCGTCGACAATAAGCGTTGTTTGTACTTTTCTACCGATGATCTTTGCTTAGCTCGGTCGTCGCGAGAACGTGAAAAACGAAGAGCGAGATTGCACTTACACACGTACACAGGACACGTACACATGTACACATTACAGAGAAAAGAATTTCACGAACGTAGGTCTCCACGGCGTCGTACAGAGGGAATAATTAAACTAAGCACCGTTAGAAAAAGAAAAAAAAATATGATAACGACGAGAAAGAAGAAAGAGAATCGATCTCTGTATCCGTCATTCGTTGACGAAACATTTCCGAATTCTGCACATACGCTCCTTTACTTTTTTCCATATGCGATCGTGTTTTCACTTACAAAGAGAGATCGTCCTGTCCGACGAATTCTGCGAGTTCTTTGTCGAAGGGCGTCCTGCATGAAACGAAAAAGGTAAACGGAAGAGAGATTAATCCGAGGGTGAACTCGTCGGACAAAGACGACCGAAATTACTGCGTGTTGTATATATTAAATATATATATATATAAATAAATATATATATAAATATATTATAAATACTATGGTATGAGATTGAATAATAGTAATGAATATATATTATATTCTGTGTCGGGGGCACTTGGCTTGCAACTCGTAAATATTAACTGAATACTTATTTAACCACTTGCACTCCAATTGCCGAGCGACCTGTCGTTATCCGTGAATTTTTGAGGGAAAGACTATTATCGGGCAGAGTATAGGGTTACACTTAAGGGTGATTTAAGAAATTTGCGGTGGTCGATAAGGGAAATGTCGACCGTGGTTCGTAACACGGACGGGCGATGACGTAGGAAAGAAACTAGAGCGTGGATATTATGATATTAAGGATCGATTACGTGTATGTTGCCAATTAAGTACTTTGTATCGTGTTCGCAATGTCGAAGCGTTGTTTGCGCCGTTAAAGAGGCTGAGCCGCATTCGAATGTCAAATACGCCGCGAACGCGTTCAAACGTCTCTGTTCTGTCGAGATCGAGAAAACACCGTCACAATCTACTGCCTCCATTTTGTATTTTTAGTGGGTTGTAACGCGTGGAACGTCCAAAATTTACGTCATTGATAAATCAAGCAAAAAGTTCAAAGAAATTGATAGGATTGATAACTGTCAGAGAAGATCCAACTTGTTTAAAATCGACTTGAACTTTCATGTACCGAATAACGAGAATTACAAGTATTACAAACTAAATATTTAAATGTAACATAGCTGAAATCTGCGCGTTGTCAGCAGCTCTTACGACGTAAACTGAAGATCTTCGCCTTGGACGTCACACATCTTACGAACTCCGGACAAAATTTGTTTTACAAACTTGTGATATAAATATAAAATAGAACGAATACAAGAAAATTTCATTCTCGATATACAACGTAAGAATATTGATCCTTTATCATGGATCTTACAGCGAATTTATCTTTCGATAAATTGCCCAATACGTACAAATTTTCAATGTGTTATAAATATAATAAGTTGCACACCAACTATTATACTTGATTTAAAACCGTGGAAGAACGTCTATGTCCATGCAAGTAATTATTCTATCATTGAATGAAGATTTCACGCATTGCAATCTGATATCGTAATTAATTTTCAGTATTTATGTTTTTGTATTGTCTACCTTTTTATTTTGGCTATGCGTCTTTGTCGAAAGTTTTTTTTGTCTTTGTTTTTTTGTTGCGAAAGATGTTTTCCCCGGTTAGCAGAACAGACCCGTTTTATCGTTCTCAGCGAATCATATGTAACCGTCGTGTGGTATGTATTATGTGTACTAACGAACAGCGTATTGGTATGTGTTATAGAGCCTAAGGGAAAGAAATAAAACACGTGTTCGCGCGACACGTTTACGCTAAAAGAGCTATAGGAGATTATTCGTCGATGTATGGTCGCCCAAACTTTTTATATGCATAATGTAGGTCACGCGCGATTTTTAAACATTTTACAGTGCCCATTGTTACATGATTCCATGCATTGAACGAGGGGAACGAGGATAGTGACGCATTTTCGAACTGCGTTCTTTACGACTGTTGCGATTAGGGTGACCGTTTCTCAAATATGGAATCTGCAAAACCGTTTTTAGTGCCTTTCGTGATAGCAATCTTCCGTGATTCGAAAGAAATAAACGTCTAAAAGTAATTTACGCGTATTAGCATTTATAAAAATAGTAAAACGTTCACCGTGATGGTAGTTTTTGCTATTTTATTTATAGCTTCATATTGGTTTATTAGAACGATAAAGTATGGGAATGCTCTACTAACTCTCTTTATCGAGAAATAATTTTGATCTTTAGAATATGGCATCGAAACGCTTTTTTCGGTCATCTTAAGCGCAGCAGGTTTAACACGTTAATTGATTGTTACATCATGAAAAATAGAACTGTTCGATAATTTAACGATCCACCTATTATTTTGCAACATTTCTAACGACAGCATATTTAAACAATTTAAAGCATATTAGGTTCGAAGGAATGTGGCAGTCAACGTGTTAACGAAACTACGAACACTAATAATAAGTAAACACGAGTGAATAACGAGAGTCCATGTTCGTAAATCATTATCAAACGTGCGCGCGAACCTCCAGAATCCTTTCACAATAATCCGAGACGCAGCGATCTTTTCTTCGTTACGCTCGAATCCTCTATAAGAAGAGAAAAAGTAAGCTAAATTTTGTCTTTTGTCGAGGAAATTTCACTGCCGTAAATGGAAACACGATGATAAGAGAAAGACATTCAACGACCGTCGATCGTCGTTCTATGTTTGTACAATGTTCGACACGCGTTCAGCCTACGTAGCGACCATGACAATGAAACGCGTCGATACGATAATCGATTAACGCGTTGTTGTTGTAAGGATAATTACGCGTGGATACGTTAATGTACAAAAATTCTTTGCGGTACATTTTTAATGATATTAAGACACTTATTTCGTAATTGACTTTTATGATTCATTAATTCTAACGATAATTATTTAAAACACGATGATCATGCTACGATTACCAATTATACGCGCATACATCGAAAGCATACATGTATATGTACACACGAACACACGTACACACACATAGGACACACTAGCGCATTCAAGAAACGAGCGAATATATTCAATTTTCTTCTTTTTTTAAACGAATCGGTATGCTGTATCGAAGTGTTGCGTTTCGACTGCAATTTATTATTATTATTATTATTATTATTATTTTTAATTTTTTTTTGTAACAAAATTAGAAATAAAGCTCGAAGTTGAACATTTGTAAAACTTATTAATATTAACGAGGAAGTTGATACTGTAATATTGTAAGAAGCATGATCGTTGGCCATACAATGGAGTATATATATATTATATATAATATATAATATATAATATATGTATATATATATTTATGTTAACATAAGTTTAGGTATTAAATACGACTATAATACGAATACCTGAAAATGGTGTTCTCTGAAACATTTTTAGAAGTCAATCATAATAATTAGACGAGCATAAGCGACAGTGATTTGAGACACATGCGAGATGCTCACGTTCGAAAACGTCAGTTTTGAAGATCCGTTCTCGGTACCGACGTTTTTTCTATACTTTTTGTAACGAGGGCCCAATTTAAACAGCATCACCGAGGAGAAAAAAGCATTTTAAGAATACTTCAGAGATCGCTACTTTAACATGAATAGTTGGGGGAAAAGAAACCAACAACAAATGATTTAAATTACGATTTTACGAATAAGAATTATAAGAAAACGGCGAAGTTTGAATGTTATAAGGTCGGTAAATGGAATACGAAAAAACACACGCGTACTTTGTACGACACACACACACACTTATGGATAAATACATATACAGTATACACACATACGTGGACACTACGAGCACATGAAAAACGAATACGAGAAGAACATGAACATTTTGTATCTGTATTTGTAGATACAACGCAATAGGCAAGAGTAAATCTAATTAAGAATTCAAATGAAATTAATATATAGAGAGCTGTATGTAATTAACTGTAAGTTCATTCATCGCTATGATATTATACTTAGGTATTATATGATTTTTGAAATAAAACATTTGTTTTAAATACACACGAAACGTACACGAAAATGTGCCATCCTACCATTGCCACGATTCTCTAAACGTAATTTCGATTATGCGAAATCATGCATGTACATTTCCACTAAACACGGACGTGTTGGGGTATTAATGCCATGCGATTAAGCATTCACTTATATTATCGGGCGAAATCAGTTGAAAATTAGTCAATTTAATTCTAGTTTTACTCACAATTATCGTTACTATCGAATTCAAACATATTTCGAGTTCCTGTTTATTAATTTGTCCGTCGACCGTGTACACGTAGACAAGCGTAAATAATTTCACAACCTAAACTACCGTTCAAAAGTTTGGATACTCGTATAATTGGGGAACAAATTCGGACGCTATTCCGTAATGGTCTATCCTCCTGAATAGTATTAATTTTACCTGGATCCGTCCATAAACTTCGAGAATCTTTATTAGTTTTCTTACATACGATGTTGGAAAACTTCTATCATAACTTAACATTTTTTAAATATTATCGAAGTCTTGGAAAGCCATGCACAAGTATTATTATCTCTTTGATAAATAATCATGAAGGTGTTATAATCACAAACAGACGCGTAAAACACGTTTTTCAATTGATTTCATACTTCTAGTTTTCTGCTTTACGTGTGTTCTTCATCCAAAATTACGAATCAAATACCATCTGTCGCGAATGCAGACGATCGTTGCAACCAAATTTTCGTTCGGTAGTGTTCCCGTTGATTTTTACAGAGACAAAGTGTCTTGTTGCAAATTAAACGAAATCTGTTTATTTTCAATTGTTTTGCAGGTAGTTCGATGTCTAGGAACCTCGGCGAGTCGTGAGTATTCCTTTTCTCCAAGTTTTGTACAGGATTTCTGGTAGCACAACGCACTCTCGATGTTTCAATACTTTCCAACGAATTCCGTAACTAATACTCTTTTTTCCCCCTGCTAGTGCTTTACCGTAGTGAGAATACTTTGACTGTACGCCTGACAAACTTTACCGCACCCACGAGGCAAACAAAGTTTTGACTTTTCACTCAACGTTGCACTGTTTAGTTTGTCGTATAAATGAAATCAATATCAATTTTACGTGTGTTCTTTTATCGATTAGATCAGCTTTAGAGATGGATTCAACAATTTAAACAACTTTTTTGTCAAC